ATTTAAACTACGTAGATATTCTGTTGATATGCGAAACACTTCAAAATCAGTCATTTTTAATTCGAAAGTTATATGCTCAGTAACTCCTAAAAATCAAAATAAGGGAATCTGATATTAATATATAAATATATTAAAAATATTGTAATTATGAGAAATAGTTTCATTGTTTTTTAAAATTAATAAGACAAACCAGTAAACGAAGAATAATAAAGAGAAATTCCGTTTTTAAAATAAATAGCGATAAACAAGAACAATAATAAAAAAAAAGATTCGATTGACTTTTAATGAAAAAGACAAAATGGGTTCGGACGCGTTAAATCTGATTCTCTGTTTGTACATGAACATGAATTCCTCAAGTTTTCAATTTAAAAAGAGAATTAGTCTTTTCCAGGTGATAAAATTAAAAAGTATTATCAAATGTTATTTAGGAGTAAAATAAATATAAATAATTAAATCCATTAGGCTTGTAACGCAAAAAAATGGCAAAAGGTATCAAGCAAAAAATATCTAACTAAAAAATAATACCAGAATAACTACAGTATGGGAGTAATTCTGTTTTCACCAAAGAGCTCGATGAAGCAATGTAAGATAAAGGCAACATTATGAGTATACATTGTAGTCATCTTCGTATCTTAATAAATGGGACACATTTTGAAATTTTCCCTAGCCACATAGTTTAATATTCTCCGGCCTTACACAAAAGACATAAAACAGAATAATATCAACGTAGTTTCAAAGTAAAGTAAATACTTATTATAGATAACATTTAACGAGTTGTAATAAATTTATTATGAAATCTATTAAAATACAATACTACTATAAGTTTAAAAGTTAAGGTATAATATTCAACTTAATAATTTAAGATACATAAGCAGTAGAATAAACCTTCAGTAAATGAAAAATTATATAATATTATTATTCTCCATATCTTTCGGAACTAAAATATGAAATTTGATAATTTTCAAATATCTATGAAAATATTTTCTTACACTTTTAGCTGACTGTTACCATGAAATTTATAGTGCATTATTCTCGTCAAAATCTACAAATTTTAACACACAATTTACTGAGCCATCTTGGTGAAATTTAATACTTCAATGTCAAAGAAGATAATTATGAAGTTTCTAGTAATATGCTTAAATTGTGTCAGTGAAGTCTCAAAGTAAATTAAATATTCGTTTAAAACTACAGTGTTAAACAACTTATATTCATCTAAGCTATAATATTTACAAAATATCTACTTATTTTTTAACACACTTTTCTCTTGGCTTTATTCCTGTTAAAAAAGTAAATACACAAGAAATATTGTAGTTTAAAAAACAAATAAAAATATCTGCGACTTTTTATTTATTCTCTAATGACAACACCTAATTCAAACGTTGATAGTGTCAATTATACAGAGGTCCAGTAAGTAAGGAACACGGGTAAATTATTATTAATAATGAGAACAATATAAACCTGTTTCCTTACTTATTGAACACTATATACATCTTCAATCAAACCCTATTTTTCGAGTTACACTAATAAAATTGTAAAAGTATTATTTAGTAATAAAATAGATTATAATCTGTTTTATTGACAATATAAATTACGATTGTAATTTATGTATTATACTAATTTTTTTAAATTAAAAATTCTCAATAAAGCATCACAAAATACAGTTTAAACTACCAAATAAATATCTACTAATGGTGTATCATGCATATATGTATTTTTCAATTACATTTATTGAATCATTTTGCATTAAAAACGTCAACAATCATCATTTAGCAATAAAAGACTTTCGAATAAATAAATAAACCCAGACAAGTACTTTCTATCAATTTCTTAACGTTTGTTTGTCGTTTACTTTGACTACATATTAATATTCATTGAAATCAAATTATTCTTATAGATCCTGGCAATTCAAAAGGAATAATTTATCATATTTAAATAAAACCATTTAGAAATAACTGTCTCAAGACGATTTATCAAAAAATTCATATAAAAAATGATTTTAAAACTACATTGTAACTAATTAAATTTTTCATTTTTTTTTTCATGTTAGCCATAATATAATACATTATTTTTGAACATTTTATGTTTTTTCTGGGATACCTTTACTCTTATGGATTTTGATAAAAAAAAACCTTTTATATATTATAATCAAGATAACTCTTTACAATAGTAGAAAGATGGATCTCGTTTACTTATAATACAAGGAAATAAGTCGAAAATTAATAATAACCATTTTTATTAAATTAATTATTATATTTTGTATACAATTAAAGATATAATCACAAGTAGATGACAATGAAATATTAGTTTTACTTTAATATATAAAAATGAAGCTTTACTCATTATTTATTAATAATTTTTTTACGCAGAATTTTTTCCCATTAAGAATTTATAAGGAATGGTTCACTTCAAAATAACTTTATGTCATCACATAATTTTACATTAACATTATCATAAACCAAAAACACTAAATGACAAACAAAACGCAATTGATAGTCTCTTTGCAGCTAAATAAATATTTAAATATCATGTCAATACAGAGTAATTTTTGTGCGATTGGTGAATTTATTTTACAAACTAATATTAGTATTATCCATTGCATTATTTTTAATGTATCATATTTACAAAAAATATTAATACGCATTATCAAAGACTATTTATTATCCCAGGCGTTGATTTTATTCCGAATTTGCATAAATGCCAATTTACTAATGAAATCTTCAATATTATTCGGCTCATTTAATCAACACCATAACTACCATAGATGATTCTAGATAAAAATATCCAAACGGAAAAAATATCAGAAAAAGAAATATAAAAGTTTAAAACATACACATTATATTACAAATTATAATAAATAATAAAATTACATTAAATTAAAATATACATTAAAAATGTTTTAAAGAATTGACAGAAAACTGTTGTGATTACAGTTACTACAATTTTAGTATTTTAGTATTGTTTAGTAAAATAAGTAACATCAAAATTTTAAGTTATTAATTTCATTTAATTTGTATGTATTTATGTACATAATTTATATTTATATTTAAGTTATACCAAAATCCATTTTACTATCCATTCAACTTTAAAAAAGAAGAAATCTAAAATAGTAATAATAATAAAAAATAGTAAACAAAAAATACTCTTAAATTATTCCAAACAAACTTAACAGTAATATAATTAACATTAAGACGGCTGTTTTTTTCATTTAAAATATAGACGAGACGAAAATAAGCTTTAGTCGTTTAGTTCACCATTTGGCTGACTTGGAAGAGACCGTAATTTATTTCATACGTTCGGATTCGTTGCACATCGTTGCATTTCCAAGATTAAATCCGTTGTGTAATTGGCAACTTTGGATAAATAAAAATTATCTTTCACTTTTTAAACAGCATAGAATGCTTTATAGTTATTTGTTTTGTTTTTAATTAGAACTCTCTAATGTTACAATAATTATAATAATCCTTCAGTTCAAACTGATTTATCAAAAATATATGTTTGTTTTTTATATGAATGACTCAATGATATTTTAATTTAAAGCAATTAAAATTCTTGTTAAACATGTTATTATAGGCACAATTTGGACCAAATTTTGATTATTTGTAGACGGCTAAATCCTATCTATTTATATTAGCTGGTTTAATCTATTATAAAAAAAGTATAATCATAATTCTGTATAATTAACATTGTTTGATGTAAAACAGGGGGCGTGAACATTAGTGAGATTAATGTAGTTTCTAAAATAATTGAAATAACTAAGTATTTTTAGTGATGTAAAAATAATTAGGTAAATGAATTAAATAGGAGTGCATTTATTGCATTTGCATTGGTTCCACAAGATAGACGTTTAATATAATTTTAACTAAAATATAAATCAATTAATGTTATTAAACTTTGTAATAATCAAAGTTTTTCATTCAATACGATTGTTATATAAATATAATAGTGGCAATTATTTTATATTATTTATATTATATTCACTACTGATGTTTTTAATGTAGTAACAGATAAGGGTTATAAAACTGAGATAAATAGTAACATATCTTACAAATACAGTTACTAAATAGTAATATAACTTTACCTACTCTATAATTAAAATTTACAAAATAAGTAAGATACCTCAATATCCATTTTGTTTGATTTTTTGATAAATATTTACAAATAAAAATTTGATTTATTTTGATAATCCATAGTAAATATCAAGTTTATTGAAAGAAAAATCTATTTCCAAGATTAGATTTTAGAGGTGACATTCAAAATTATTGTCTATTAATAATTTTCACTGGTCGAAAACCAGTTTTATATTATTGTTATTTGAGTTTATGTAATTTTTAGGTGTAGGGTGTGCAACGTTAAATAATTCTTATCTGTGCGCTGTGGTAAAAATAAAGCGTCACTTAACACTATCCCACTCCACACTTTTAAAATGCTAATATCTTGAAAAGTAATACAAAATTTCTAAAACTTAGTGTTTTTTTAATTATCAGCAGTAAAAGGTTAATGAGTAGTATTTTGTAAATATGGATGAGAGAAACCAATGAATAATGATATAGTTTTACGGGGACAATGTTGTATTATTATAGACACTTACAAATTATTTTCCTTCGTATTTTATTGGAAGTTCACTCAACTGTCTTACATCACACTCCAACTCGAATCCCACGTCAATCATTTTCATGATCACTATATTGTTTCCACGAAATTCAATTATTTAACCTCAGATATAATTACATCCGTGAAATGCAAGGCGCATATCGTACTTAGCCGCTTTTTTAATTCTCTTCTACTTTAAAAAGTTGCTCACAGATATAACCAACTTTTGTCTGCTTTCTCTTGTGTGAACAATAATCTTTATAAGCGATAACACTTTGTTTGTTTTTTCCTTGTAGTCGAAATATATATTTATATACATATAAATATATATAAATAAAATATTTATACATTGCCCGTCACGTCAAGTAATTTACCGTATCAAACAAATGTACCGTGTTTAATCTTCACAGGTTTTTTCTGGACCAATTGATTGGCAGTAGTTTGAGTCGCTGATTTTTGAAATTGTACTACCAGCAAACGTCTAGACACCTCTCAGTGACGACAATGCTGACACGAGGCCAAGTATGATTAAAACATACTTGTTTGTTTACAGTAAAATAAAATAAGTATAGTTAATATCAATTACAAAACAATAGATAAAATGGATTGATATTAGATTTTGTACGAAGCTAATTATTTAATATTTATAAATTTGTATATATTTAATTTTTATTATAACACTGCATACAATTTAATATTTTATGAAAAATATTTTTTTGGAATTATTAAAACAAAACACTTTTCATTACTTAAATTTACTATTTTAATATGCTCAATAAAAATTAACATAGGATGTTATAATCTACCTACTAAAATAATTAATATTATTTTGAAGTTGTCTTTTAAATTTATATTAATGAATTTGAAATATATATTTTAAAAGAAGATTCAACAAATTTATAGAAATTAACATTAATTGATTTCTCAGTGAAAGTTAAAATAATACTATCGTTATTATATGTATTTAGAGGATATTACCTTTTTTCATTATACTGGCTACAAGTTAATGTAACTAGGTAATAATTTTGTGTTTTTTTTTTATTTAATGGAATAATTTGTAATTTTCCTTCATCTCAAATTGAAAAGCTTCAGGTAATTTTTAACATTTAAAAGGGGGATGCATAAAAGGGACTAGTATACTTTTTTCCCTGAAAGTTTAACAACGTTCTATTTTATTAAATACATCTATTTGAAACAGTTTATGGTGATTATAAATTTAAAAAGATCACTGCGCATCATTATCCCGTATACTTGAAAAAAATTTTTTTTTTTAAAGAATTTAAAACTTAAAATCTGTAAGATTCATAGATGATTGCCAGGAGTTTGGTTATTTAAAAAAAATAGGTTTGGATACTGTACAATTAAATGACAGATTATAGTATTAGTTTTTCATTAAGTGTGTGCTGTTCCCTCATGTTCACCTAAGAAGTCGGATTCGCTGTTAACTACACACATTGATACTTATATTTTATTGTTACAACTTAACCACGTATATTGGAGGAAATTCATAAAAAAAACGTTACTCTTAATTTCTCATAGCTATTACATCGTGAACCAACATTTGTTTGAAACTTTAATTAAAACATTTATTCTAATAACGTTCAGAGACCGGAAAGTTTGATAATAACAAAGTTCCATCTGCTTGTAAAAGCTTGACGACTAATCATTATGATATTACCAATAGCTAAACTGTTTAAAACGTAAAACAATAAATTTTCTTTGAGTTTTTAAAAATATCCTTTCGTTTGTTGACAATGAAATAATATATTTCATTAGTTTCCTTTATTATTTTATTTTTCTAAATCATATAAAATGTAATCAGTGTTTTTGTATAAATCTTTATTGAAATTAGTTAAGAAAAATAGACAAAATTTTTACTAAGAAACAATAGTATCATTTTAAGTTACCATAACATTACTCTTATTTTTTTTTATTTATGAAAAAATTGACTTTGTTATAATTTTTATAACACAACAATAATTTATTAAATCAGGGTCACATCTAGGGGAGGCACTGAGGGGTACACGAGTGGCACTAAAATATGAAGCAATATAAAGTTTAGAGTTAAAGACTTTTTTTTTTCTTTATTCGAATAAAAAAAAATCGAAAAAAATGTTTTTGATGAGCAAAATAAAAAGATCATTGAGGGTGGCAGAATTGAGTATGCCGAATGACACAATTTTTAAATGCAGCTCTGTATTAATTTTTCTTTTTATATTTTATTCATTCAAAATTAATATTGTACTTCTTTCTATTAACTTATATATTAACTGACATATAATCGATATCATCTTTGGAGATGGTATTTTATATAGCTTTATTGTTTAACTGACATTTAAATGAAATTCGTTCACAGAAAACTTCTTACACTTTGATTCTATATAAAAATACCATTATTGGTAAAAAAATGTCAATTAGAGCAAAAAGAGCATATATTAAAGAATAACATTGTTCTATAATTGACTTTATTATTATTTATTATTTTATTATTATTTTAAACGGTTAGTTTTATATAAGCTTGGTGTGTTTACTTACTATTAGTCTATAATAAAATTTACATTGTTATTTATTTTAACTATTACAAAACTTGCAACGACAAATTGTACTTTAATAGTTTGAACCTATATTATTTTTTTAATTAAATAAAAAGCGCTCGTTTTTATGAAACTATATTGTTGCAATAAAAATAACATTACCTTTTTTTAGTGTCGTGCCTAGATGGTAGGTCCTGGCCTACCCTATTTTTAGAGCTCACTTTAGGCACAGGCCCCATATATTTATAAACAAATAATGACAAAAATTATATAAACACCCCTATAAAAGTTCCAGTCCTATAGATCCAAATTACAATAATTATAACCGGGCCTATCATATATTTAATTAAAGGCACGTCTCTGCCTATTTTCAATGGTTCGTGAAATTCACGGCAAAATATAATATCATTGTGAAACATGAAACTACATTTACTCCTTTTTAAACTTCAACATTATAAAAAAATATTATATATTTTACGTTAAACGTAATTTTAAAAATGTCAAAATCAATGATAGACATGTATCAATTCCAAGTTGCGTTAATTATTTTTTTTTTGCGATGTTGATATTGAAAATGAATAAATAAATTGTTATCTGATATATCAACTAAATAAAGTAAATATAAATTTAGATGTTATCTCACATTAATGGATTAAGAATTTTAATGACAGCATTATAATAAATCAAGTTTTAAGAAAATTTAATTAGCCGCTTTTTTAAATCTAATTTTTTTGAGACATCGTTATAATATATAAATTAATTCAACTAGTGTTGAAAAGATTACTGAAGACTGACTTAAATGCACTCTTTGATTCGATTTTGTTTAAAGCTAAATAACACATATTTTTCACCGAAATGCATCAATCATTTTTTATTGCATTAATTAATTACACGTCTTGGTTGTCTTGCTATAATTAATCACTATTTCATCTACGTCTTCTGTAAGATTTAGTAATTTATACTTCCGGTTTTAATGTATAGAAACTAAATAACTATACAACCAAGTTATTTAGAATTATTCATTAGCAAATAAACACTATTGTCGTTTTTTTAATTTTTACTATATTATTTTGCTTCCATTTCAGAAAAGCTATGAAGTATAATAGAAACAATACTAATGTGGTAGGATACTAAATGCACCTGCCAAGTAAAGATTACCACAATTACTACATTTTCTTTAAAGTAGTGTAAATTTTCATACAACAAAATATTGGTCCTGTTATGATAAATAATTGACAGTTAAAAATAATTTTAAGAATTTTGAATACCAGTACAAATTATTTCAAAAATACTCAAAGAAAAGTAAGCTGTTGAAAATTTTATTAAATAAGGAAAAATATACAAAGCTGGAAAAATTAGTTAATGAGCTCCGATTTTCTAAACATTTTTTTTACTCTATATGCCCTAAATGCATTAAATTTTGATTGAGTAATGAGATTTTTTTCGAGCTCGTGAGGTCTTTAGAGCCCAAGTTTTAGAGTGGAGCCACAACTAGGCAAAGCCCAGTACATAATAATTGTTCTAATCAAAAATGAAAATTCAGCTCTGTAGTAAAAACGGTACAAAACATTAACATAATCCTGATTGTATAAAATAATTATAAACAAAATTTGACAGTTAATTTAGTAAGTGGAAAATAAAAGCACAAAGTATAATAATTTTAGAAAATTCAATTTGATGAATTTCCAAAATGACTATTAAATAATTGTATTGGCAGATAAACAACTCTAACTACTTATTTAATGTAATTTCAGAAAAATGGAATTGGAAGAACTTTACCATAAGTATCGAATACGTCTCAAACAATCATTGTTCACATCATTCGTGGCTGTTGGATTTGCCGTTTGTACAATAGCATTGATCTTATTAATATGTTTTTATTCTGTAAGTTTTACAATAATGTAGCAATTTTAATTATTAACTTTTTAATAAGACATAATTAATTTTTACTTTTTAAACACTTTTGACTTATAACAACATTTTAGAGACTCCAAACGATATTTTATTAATAATTTTGTTAAAACTAAAAGTGAGATTTCATGTATATTTAAAGTATAAAATACTATTTTAGCTTTTTTTTGTATAATCAAGCAGTATCAAGATTAAAATTATATAAATAGAAACAAAATGAATAGCGAAAATTCTCTAAGATATTAAAGTTAGTCACGATTTAATATCTTTAACAATGATTTAGTCAATATGTGTTATATACGAGTTCTTTGCGTTTTCAATCGTTTGATTGGTTTTCTGTAGTTCTCCATGCTTTATAACTTAATTCCTTAAAATCTCTATAGCTATCCTAACCCATGTCTATAATGATTTGTTTCATGTATTCCATCGTTGGTCTTTCTTTTCTAATATAGCCTTCTATATAGCTATTTATTAAACTATTATGTCATAGCAAGTACCTACCCTATCGTGTTGTCTTCTGCCTTTGTGTCTGTTCTATCTTTAATACTACTACAAAATTTTCGTTTTTCCTTTATTCTAGTTAACACTGCTTCATTTGTTGACATGCTTCAAAAACTCGTTTANTGCTTCATTTGTTGACATGCTTCAAAAACTTTTGATTCATTTGCAAAATTAAGTCTGACTGTTATTATTGTAAAAAAAAAGTTTATTAAACGGTTAAATTAAGATTGACATATAATGACATTTTTATAATTTTCTTAAATTATACAATTAAGGATTAATGATCTAATTATACTTGATAGATTCATCAGATATAATTAATAATTATTTAAAAAATAAAAATTATCGTTATTTGTTCGATTCAAACCAATATTAAAATAGTTATGATATTTCTGGGTATTCCCATACGATTCATCTTTTAAACAGCAAAATTAATTAGAATTTTTTACAAACTATTTGTTAGCTGTATATATATTAGTATAATAATTTNTTTGCATCGAAGCGTTTCTTATGATAGTGATTTTAATCACTGTCAGATTAAATCTATACTGGACCCTACTATGCAATGTCTCCACTATGCCGCGACCCCACTGTGCTACCGTTTCTTTTTTTAATTATCCCTTGTTTTGTAATAATAATATAAAAATATATTTATTCAGTCTAGCTAAAAGTAAATATCATTCAAACTTTCATTTTAAATCTGCAGAGTAAATATTTATGATTTATACAAATTTGGAACCTAATAATATTGAAACTTACCGTCTGCATGAAATGTGACTAATTTATTATACAAACTCTCGAGTTCATATATTTGTCAATATTTTTTCGTTCTATACCAGGTAATTTGTTTATCATAACCCACTCAATCACTCACAAAATAAATTCAATATCTAAAAAATATGTTTTGGTTTCTATTAGTTACATATATTCATTAGTTTTTTTATTATTAATTACTTTTTAGAATCATCCCATATAACTTGTAGAGATGTTAATTTAATTTTTTTTTAATGACAACATATACATTTACCAAACTTATAAAATAGGACATTATCTAATTAGGAAAAAGAAGTGTCAATAATAACTTCTCTACCAATGCTTTAGAAGTTATTAATATTTTTATATCTGATCAGTGTTGGGAAAATATAGATAATTATCAAAATTTTTTACCTAGAGAAATATAGTATCTTTCATCTTAGCTGAGTGACTTTATATATAATTATCTAAATGTCATCTTTGATCTTCATTAATTAACACAAATAATTAATAAATATTATGTTGATGAATTGACAAAAAATGGCTAAACATTCAAACAAGCAGCCCCAAAAAATGTCCATAACACTTATCAAAACACTCAGTTTTTATTTTAACTCGTGCTGCTCGTTGATTAACTCAATTAAATTTTTAACTATTAAGAATATTAATCTTCAATTTTTGAACAAAACATTTTTTTCAGTAGAATAAACCTAATGATATAAAAAAAATTGGTATTGCCATTTGAAAATCAAAAGCTAATATAAGATTAGGGATGATAGTAAAAAATTAATTTTTCTTATATAGAAGCTCAAAAAAATCCAGTATAGATAAAATAATAAAATAATGATTAGCTCTAATATTTTTGAATATATTTCACAAGGCGTAGATAAGGAATCGCCTACACTGAAAAAAAACCTTAGTAAAATCAACAAATTAATTTAAACCAACAAGTTAATACACTACCGACAATAATTTTTTTTTGATTAAACAAAAGTTTTTGAAGTACAATAAAGAATTATAAAACAAACAAATATTTTGTTCTAATAACAAAAACATGATTGATTTAAAAATAAAATAACTGTTAACTGTATTTTTTTCAGTGTATTTATTTATATGCTTAAAAATGAAATTGTAATTATTTAAGTGTCAGATCTATTATCTATACACCTAGCTATAACAACACTGCTCTCAGTGTTGTTATAGCTGCCATGACTGATTTAAACAGAATTATGTATCTTACATTATTTTAAATATTTTAAAACATTTTTTCTTATCCCTTTGATAAAAAAAAATGATATCTCCATATATTATTATAATGATTAATAAAGAATAGACCGTCTAATACAGTTGCAAAATACTTAATATTTTTAATTATAGGATAGAAATGATTTATTTGATTCAAAAACCTATTGAGCAATATATAGATAAATCAATTATTTTCTTATCCCTCCAGAGTTAAATATCTAAACTTTCCTTAATAGGGATAAAAGTAGCGTATAGCAGAGCATATAACTTATAACATATAGCCTATAGCATACTGTAAAATGGCATAAATTTAATCTTAATATAACTTTGATAATCCTTTTTTATTATAATTTTGCAACTAGTAACTATTTAACAATTAGATCTCATTTTGAAACTAGGTTATCTTACGTACTTTACATACTTATTATTTGAAAGTCACAAGTCTTCTAACGAAATTATACAAAACATTCAAGACATTCTTTCAGAATCAAACCCAACCCAACCTATAAAAATTATATGTCTACTTTTGGATTGACAAATAAAAAGAGACAAAAAAGCTTGTATACTACTTGAGTTACTTTATCAACTGAAACACTCATCGAAATCATAACTCAAAANACATTCTTTCAGAATCAAACCCAACCCAACCTATAAAAATTATATGTCTACTTTTGGATTGACAAATAAAAAGAGACAAAAAAAGCTTGTATACTACTTGAGTTACTTTATCAACTGAAACACTCATCGAAATCATTACTCAAAGNTTATCAACTGAAACACTCATCGAAATCATAACTCAAAAAGATGCAATAAAAAAAATAAAGTGTTTTTTTAGAAATTTTAGACAAAACAGTTAACATTAAAAAGCTAAAACAATTTAAAAAATATATCTAGTAAAAAATTATACTTGCCCATTAATAGTACAATGTGCGAAGAAGCATAGAAGCGCATTTTCTTTTTATAGCTTAAGATTTTTGCTATAATATGGATTGTATTGCAAAAATTGTAAATTTGTGGAATTATTAGTAATATTCTTTAAAAGTTGTAAAATAATGAAAAAAAAACATTTTATAGAGAAGAAACCTTCTAAAGTTTATGAAAAAATTTTTTTTTCAGAATTGTAAGGAAAATATATTTTTAGCAAAGATTAAAAAAAATTTTTTTTTGCAAAGTTGGCGTTAATTATATATATATATGTATGTATAATAGAAATTACTAGAAGTAAAAAAAACAATAAAATACTACAAAATACATTTTGTCTTTTAATTAACTCTATAACGAATAAAAAATAATTTAGGGCGTTGAAATTTTATATTTATCTTCAACAATGCACATTAAAAGATAATTACGAAAAAATTTGATTTTTAAAATGTAATATTTCCTAGTATATAAGTGCATGTTTAACTGGGGTACATTTTTATATTATAAGAGATGCCTCTAGTTAAATATGCATGTTGTTATTAAAAAAATATATATAGTTGACACCCCTATAAGTTAAATAGGACGATGTTAAATAATAAATAACTGATTTACTAATGTACTATATACATTGTATGTATATAAATATATTTAGTGTTTAGTAAGTAAGGAAACTGTTTTTACATTACTTATAATAATCTACTCGTTTCCATACTTTTTAAACTTCTATATACTTTTGTATCATATGGATTGAGTAAAGGAGATAGGAATTCATAAGAAAATAAATTTACACTAATTCACTATTTAATTTTAAACTATAAACCACAAACTGAATATTACTGAAGTTGTTTTTCTGTACACATTTCTAGTTTATCTTTGTCTTAGTACACCGTTAAATCTTTTCTTTTTTTTCCCTAAATTTATACGTAAAAATAAAATGTGTAAAACGATAAAGTTCAAAAATAATAAGCTTATTTAAACATAATCCATAATAATCCATTTCCAAAATAGACTACAAAAATAAAATTTTAGTGCATAATAGTTGTTGATTTTCTTTGTGATTTTATAGAGAATAGCCAAGTCAGAGGTGCCTTTGGCGTGCGTTTCAATTGCCTGGCTGACATTTGCTTGTACTTTTGGGCTTACACAATCATTACCAACAGCATTTAATTCAAAGCCGATTGCTGCTATTGTATCTGTGACCACAGTACTTGCGGCCGTAGCAGCCGTTCTTTTTGGGTGTGGAGCTCACGCAACTTATATGCTCGTACCAGTTCTGATAGCTACACACTCGATGGTACCTATTCATATTACAATGGCGTGTACTGCGACAACTTCGATTGTCATAGCACGTATAATATTGTTGTTAATAAAAAACGAAGTTTTACCAAAAATGTCATTTATTAACCAAGTAAGTAAAATTAAATACTTTTTTTAATCTTTCACTATGAACAATCGTTTTGTGTATAGATTTTACCTAACCCAATCTATTAATTAATCATTCAAAATATAGTTTTTTGTAAACGAACAATTTTTTTATACGACGTTCAGTTTGACATAAAAAGTTCAACGCCACTATTTAGGATATAAACAATCCTAGACTTATTTCGGTTTTTAAGTAACTTAAAGTTCAATTACCTCACATTTTTTTATGAAACCATTATTGTTTGATTAATTGTATATTTTAGCTAGCTAATAGGGTGAAATGTACAGTTATTGGTACATTTTTAACTATTTTATCAGTTAAAGATTGTGTGTTATTTTTTTAAATTAATTAATTTTGTTTAATAATCAGACAAACTATTAATTATCATACTAAAATTTAAATTTTTACTCAATTGTGTGTGGTATTATAATTAATTTAAAAAAGCTTACAACAAAAAAATCCTGATATTTTGAAAATTTTTAAAAATCTATTATTTAAAATAAATTATTAAATTCTGAAAGCATAATTCGAATTCTAATGCGATTTTCGACATATCAATGTAGTAAGAAAAATTTAACTTATAAATAAATATACTGATTAAAATCTCACAAGTATCACATGCCAATAACTGTACACTATATGACTTTACGTATTTTTTTAATCGAAACACGCTTTTAAGAAATACACAGTTTTGTTTGTTTGAAAATAAAATTAATAATAACTTAACACTTTAAATGACTTTTACCATTAAAACGAAAAGATAAAATAATATTCTATATACTTTGCTGAGAAATATTCTAATTTTGGTATTCCCAGTACGTTCATTAAAATGTATTTATTTCTTAAAAAATCTAATAAATTTGTAGCACAACTACTAAAATATCCAGTTTATGTTAACATTTTATTCACTATCATAACTTAATTATTACCAGCTTCATACCTAATACTATAACATAATAATGTCAGACACTAATCCTATAAAATTTATTTGTTTACATTAAGAGGCTTAAACAACCAATAACTTGTTAGGTTAACCGAAATTTCGGTGTAATTATATAAATAGGTGCTCGTATAATACTTTGCCAGTGTGCGAATATTGTGTTTGTAAAGAGAGATTGACTACGATGGCGGGGCGTCGGAGGTTACATCTTTATGTGGTTCAGTATAAAAAGTAATCGTAGTCCGCTGACAGTTATCGAATTGACCCAACTGCAGCTCGCGTCTATGTAATTTTGAGTTTTATATGAGTTTACGTTATCAAAAACCATCTTCTAAGAAAATTCGATTTTTTTTTTTTATTCAATTTCTTTGATATTCTCTTTTTCAGCGTAATGTATATGTGTATACTCACAAAACTATTGGTTTTTTACAAACAAAATACTTTTGATGATCATAAATTTAAACTACTAATAAAAATAGCGGCTATCTATACTGGTTTTAGAATTACATCCTTATTTTAAACTCTACATTATTTATATTATTATATAATTAATAAATCTATATTATTCAGTAAAAAAAAAAAATAAACAGTGGTAGAATAACCTAGGGTAAATGTGTGTACTTTTTTTTCTATTGCATATAATTTGTAGTATAAGGTAATAACATTTTTTTTTTTTTAGCTAGACAACTTAAATATTAATAGTAAAATTTGAACTTTATTTATTAAGTAATGAATTGAAATAAAATGAAAAATAAAAGTGTACTCTTACTCACTAATGTCGGGAAGTCAGATTTTTTAGGAAGGCTAAATTAAATTTTTCCGCCTAAAAATATTATTTGTATATAAGTAAGAGCCCAGTTAGTATTGACTAAGTTTTAAGAAAATTAATAAATAAATAACTATTTAACCAGTTTTTTTTACATGAAGTGGCAAAATAACGACAAAGTTAATTGAATTTAGTAATTTTTCAATTCGATAATATAATATTTATTTATAATGAATGGAAAAGCAGTAAGCATTTAGGAATAATTTCTGTTTCTCAAAAATAATATTTTTCAATATATTAATCAACTACAAAAAAATCATTCAAATAATATATAAACCTCATTTATTTAAAAAAATATATATAATTATCCTTTTTAAGATCTACGTTGGACTTCTACTCCAAATAAAACATTTTTTCATTAAATTCTACACCAAAATTCGTATGTGAAAATAAAACTATGTCATTAATCACAATATTAATAACAGAAAAATTCTATATTCAAATAAAAAAAATTTTAATCTTATAAAATTGTCGTATAAACTTGAAATAGTATTCTTGAAGAGCGAAAAATAACATAAAAGTATGAATAATTTTTGTAATCCATATAATGTGTTCAATCTTAGCTCGATAATTTTGTAACAACTAAAAACAATAGAAAATGATCCAAGATTAGGAGTCTATACGGGTAAGTAAACGGTAATTACCGTTTACTCTATTATGCGTTTTTCTGATTATAAATAAATAACGCACTATAAAAGTTTTTTGCGTTGGTTTAGTTAAACGCGTATTTAAATGATAGCCATGGAAATTTTGCAGATAATTTCCGAAGTTGTACTACTCATTTCATCCAGTTGTGTCGGCTGGTATTATCAGTTCATGACGCATAAAGCCAACAGGATAATGTTTTCCGGTACCAGAACGTGTATAGAATCGAGGATAAAGTTGGAATGCGAAAAAGAGCAACAGGAGCAGTTGTTACTTAGTGTCATTCCAGCATATATAGCAGCAGAGGTGAGTAACACCTGTATTATGATTCACATTAAACGTATTCATACCGTTTTACCTACATAAATTTTGACTAGTACTGTATTGTGCATTTGACGATATTTTAAGCAAAAAAACAATCTAATGTGATCTATTTTGCTGAAGCAAATATTTGTAAAAAAAAAAATTTGAAAATACAAATAAATGTACTTACACAAATCTATTTGAATAAATTGAACATAAAATTTCCAGAAAACTAATTTTAAACGATCAAATAATATAAAATGATACCTTTTACTCCATTCTATTGTTATTTAATTCAGTACGAGGAAATTTCTCTCGAAATTTCGCCTCACACAAGATAGGTAATATCAGGTTCAGTCTGGAAAGATAGAAGTTTTACAAAATATATATAGAACTTTAACGGCAACCATAGTAGTTCAGGTAAATTGTTTATTGTCATACTATCCGAGGCTATTTTAATTAAAATAGGTTGTAACAGAATGTATCTAAAAGGAAAACTTTAACACGAAAACAGCCTCAATAAAAATAATTTATTTTTAAATATTTTCTAAGACAAATTAAATATACAGTCAATTAATAAGCATATTGAATATGAAACTACAATTGTTATATTAAACTTTTTAAAAGAGTTGAGAATTTGTTTCAATAGTCGACTTATTTTATGAGATCTGTAAATTGATAAACCTTTGGCAAGGAGTTATATGTGATGTATTAGTTCAATTCCGAAGAGAGTAAACCGTTTACACATTAACTTTTGAGCATCATTGATACATGTTTCAGGAAACGTAAAAGAAACACTGTTTACAAAATAAAATGTAATTTATGATCCGTTCGGAATATAGCCCAAAGTAAACTTGTCATATCCTGTTATATAAATAGTTTAATTAATAGTTACGGTACACTTAACAAGCCTTTGATAGAATTTTTTTGTTTATTATGGACAAGGTGTTTTAATATAACAATAAACGTTTTATTTGATCAACTTTCGTTCCTACCTAAGTTTTGCGTAAAACTTACTCGTGTGAAAATGCCATAAATAAACAAAATGAAAAATTCAAATATATAATTATACACACAAACACGTCTATTTAACAAAGTTTACTCTATTTATCGTTGACGTGTTTTTAATACGATTTTTGTTATAATGCGAATTTAGTATTTCTTATTATGTTTTAAATCAAAATGTATTTTTTTGTATATACTTTGTTGACTCTTATTTTTTTATTTGGAAAAAAATTTACAATGTACAAACGATACTTAACACTGAATAAATCTCTCATAAGTCATTTTTTAGTCATCACTAAAAAAGTCAACTGAATAAGGTCATATAATAAGAAAAAAAAAATCTTTGAAATCTGTCAAAGTTCACATTATCAAAGGAGCTAACGACGTTGATATACACTTATATGCGTACAAATTATCATAACAATTGTACTTGAAAATATAATATTTGTGACCAATACAAACAAAATAAAAATGATTCATTTTTTCACGTTTTTTACTATAATAAGTATCTTTTATGTCTCAATGTTTTTAAATATATCAACTCAAATTATAAGACATCTCCTTTGATGAGGAAAATAATAAGGTAATTGGAGGCGGCAGAATTAAATACCAAGCCGACACATTCCTTAAATTGATAATATTTATTTTTTTTATGAATTTATAGAATTATTTAAATTACAATATTTTAAAACTAAACGTAAAAAACTAGACACATTTAAATCAATATTAATAGCACATAAAAATACTATTTTCTTCTAAATAACTTTTACTAACTTAAATAAATATATTCGATTAAATTTCACTCCATTAAATAATAAAATATTAACTAATTTAAAAAAGCTTAAATTCAATATAAATCTAAAATAAAACGTCTTTTCGTAGAAGATTCTTGTGTTAGTATATCAATATATTCTACTATCTGTTAAAAATCTGTCAATTTAACTATTTTCTGATTCTTGGTAAATAAATCACCCCAGAGATCAATTGGCTCGAATCTTTTAATTTATAGTCTTTTGTTCAAAATAAATAGACATGTTTGCTACTTTATTAAAAGGGCGTGTTTTATAATTCAACCAAAGATAATAAAAATAAAAAATACTCATTTAAAAGTAATGGTTACTACGAATGAAATTTTCTGATAAGTAAATTAGAAAAGGTAACACGACAAGGATTTCTTTACTTATTTATATCAAACTAACACTCTGGTTTAATGTAATAAAAAAAAAATGTTTTCGCTACAAAAACATAATGTAAATTAACTAATATTTCTTTTCTAGTATGTACAAATTCTATTTAGAACATATAAATCGCATTCAGACTGCTACGTTAATTGATATCTCTATTTCAGCTTGATTTGTTTTTTGTTTATTTAATTTTGTTTTATCATAATATAAAAACATAAATTAAGATATAATAAAAGTAATCAAATATTGTTTCGATCTACTTAACAAATACAATCTTCTTTTACAAAATTTGTTTAACAACCAATATTTATTATGCTATCTAGCCAATGTAATTATATGTTTTTACGATTAAATTATGAGCAGCTCGTCATACTTGGTAAAGTTTTAGAAAACTAATAAATTTGACCAATAAAAATACTTATTTTTTTATAGTAGTCTTGCTTAAAGTTTTTGTTTGCATTACGTGACCACAATATTATTATGTTACACAAACGCACATTTACGTACTCTAACCACTTCTTGAGTTATAAATGATTGCACTCAATACTTATAGATCCACATCACTATTTTATACAACATATTGCGAAAAAAAGATTAATATTGGCTTAGCCATTGGTTGCAATATAAATGAGCTAACAATGGCTTAAGTGTGGTTAACAAAATTAAAATATACATATCCAAGAGCTTATAGTAAACAATTCCCTTTATTTAATTCATAATTCATAGTAAGAATACCAGTTATACTTTTTAAACATTTTTTTCTAAACTTGATAAAAAGTGAAAATGAATTGTTTTTCTTAAACTCGCATTTTTTTCTATAAAACAAATTTCTTGACAAAATTGAAACCACATCTACTAATAAGACAATATCAATTAGCTATGAATATGATGATACATGTTTTTAGAGTATTTTTGATCGTTAATTAAAAAAACAGTTATGATAAATTTTAACAAAATTAATAAAAAAATTAACATTAATTTATTACACTCTTAAAAAAATGTCCCAATTTTTACTTACAGGCAGTAGAATTTTTTTCTCGTATAATGTAAAGTAAAGTTTTAATAAATAATGTTATATTTATGTACAAATTTTAGATACTTCATGTCAAAACTACATTTCTTGCGTATAAATTTAACGTGTGTAATAAAAATATACAAAAGATAGAGAATTTTCGGATCATTTTTAACATAATCAGATTGTTATACTCAACCGTAGCATAGGTGATTAATGCAGTCTATAAACCAAATTTGACATTTAAAGTACGGCCGGAAAAAAGAAGTTATTTTTAAATATTGCATCTTTAATAGTATCTATTGTTTGTTTTTGAAAGAACATTTTTAAAACAATTATCTAATCTATTAAACAATGAAAAAAACGATTTTATAATATTTATTTTCTCTTAATAAGTATTTCATTCTCAAATACCAACGAAAAATGGAAATTATTTTAAAAGTATCCATATTAAGTATTCATTAAAAAAGTCAAGAAGGTCATGACATCTTACTAGTGGTAATTCATGAATAATATATTGTTTTGTTAACAAAGACAATAAAAAACACAATGAAAGAAAAATACACAATTCTAAAGCTAATACTGGCAAACAATTTAGTTGTATTCTTAAGAACAAAAATAGTAAACGAATAACTTGTTGTTACAACAAAAACACGCAGAGTTTTGAAGATGTTTTTATTATTAATAATAAATTTTAAAATATCGTAAAACTGTATGTACTTAAGTTTCATTAAGAAATACGAGTTCATTTCAAGTAATTAAATATAATTACAAAAATCATATAAATTAACACATAATATACGCTTTAGAAAAATAATACACTTTACAATTTGCGACAAGAATTTAAAAAATAACAAACTATATTTGTGTTTTAGTTTTACCAAAATTTTAAACTAACCAAACTATACTTACTAAGTATAGTAGAGTGGCTCAAAAAAAATCGATCTTCGAAATGTTTATGAGATACCTCATAAATGTATTATATACATTAAAATAAACATTTTATGAAAATTTGAGATTAAAAAAAAAATTTTTACAGGTCGCTCAACGCGTTTTAAGAAAATTGACCAAAAATACTCAAAAAAACATAAAATGTCATTATTTATTCAATTTTTGTTCAAATTTCTTACTTAGTACATCTAAATTGTTCGTTTTTTAATGCCGAATAATAATAATTAGAAAAAAAAATTGTAAGTCCAAAATTGATTGCGTAAAGTCCATAAAAAGCTCAAAAATATGGTTAAGTTCAACGAACTGTTAAGTAAACCAAAAAATTTTTTTTTTCATTTTTTTTTTTTAATTTGATTAATATTTGTGTGTATTTTAAGAGGAAAAAATTTTTTCCACTAATGTTTAAAACTACTACCTTTTTTTTTAGATTAGAACGTACGCTAGAATATACGATGTACATAAAAATAAATGAAAATATCGTCAAATTTTACTGTTTCCTTTTTACATTTTTTTATTTTAAAATTTGGCATTAGCTATATATACATACATATATATTTATAATTATAAAAATAAAAATAATTTTTTTTTTTTTGTCACCAATGTTGATTTTTTACAATCGGGGTACTCATTCTAGACAGAATAAACGTATCTAGCCGAAAAGCCACGTATATTTTGGCGTCTGCTTTAACTTAGTGTGATAAAAATATTAATGATTATTCGATAAGTAAAGATTGAATTCAAAGAGCTCGTAATTTTAATAGAAAAATTATAAATAATGAAATAATAAAATAATTCAAACCAAACACCGCTTTAATGGTTCACAGGGACGGAAAAATGTTGCCGTCTTACAA